AGACGTTTCAACGAGGTGGAACAGCACAGTCTACATGCTGCAGTCGCTGTTGGAGCAGAGACGTGCTATTGGCGTGTATGCTGCTGAGCACGAGTTACCAGCCACACTCACAGCACACCAGTGGGAGCTACTGGACAATGTGCTCACCATTCTTGCACCTTTTGAGGAACTCACAAAGGAGATTAGCTCATCAACAGCTACAGCAGCAGATGTCATCCCAGCCATCACTGCACTCAAGCGGATTTTGGAGAGGCAAGCGAGCACAGACCGTGGCGTGGGTACAGCCAAAGCTACGCTGCTGGAGGCTGTTGTGAGAAGATTCAGCAACATTGAGCATGAGCCCCTGTACAGCTTGGCCACTGTTCTGGATCCAAGGCAAGTAACTATTAACATTCTATTTTAGCCATAATGACTTTTAGCCTACTGCTATATTTCAACAAACATTTAAATTAAATTAAAAATAAAAATTTATTGATTGAAATGCATTTCTTTATTTACATGCAAGTCATAAAAACTGTTAATGTATACAAAACACAATGATTGACCCATCTTTCTTTGTTTATGCAAAACAAGGTACAAGAATCGCTACTTCTCAGCAGAGGTGAAAGATGACGTGAAACTGCTCCTTTTGACCAAACTTGCAGAGGGGGAGACCAGATGCACACCTGCTGCAGGAACATCCTCTGAAGTGGGACCTCCTGCTATAGATGAACCTGCAGCCAAAAGGCGTAGTCTACTGTTTGCAGCTCACGACGAAATCTTAAAGGAGAACATTGAACAGGAGCAACAGCTGGCCAGCCCTTCAGCTATGCAGGTACAGAACTACCTATCTGAGGTTCCTGTTGAAAGGAGCCAGGACCCATTGGTCTACTGGAAGATCAATGAAAATCGTTTCCCTCATCTTGCTCTACTTGCCCGAACCTATCTCTCTGCCCCATGCACAAGCGTTGAAAGCGAGCGCCTGTTTAGCTTGGCTGGACATGTAGTAGATGAGAAAAGAAGTCGCCTGTCTGGTGACAAAGCAGAAATGCTTTTGTTCATCAAGAAAAACCTGCCACTAATGAAAGTGACTGGAATAAGTCTGTGAGAACTAACTTACCAGTGTTAGTTCTTATTACCCACTGACTTGAAAATGTTACACTTGTTGCATTATCTTTTTTTTTTTTTAAATGTAACAAGTGAAAGAGTTGAAGGAACTGAACATTTTTTTTTAGTTAATTTTATAGTTTTAACAAAAATTGTGTAAACTTCATTTATATTTCAGAATACTACCTCATGACAAGTTAAAACAACAAGTTTGTATTGTTTCTAGGGTATTTTTCAAGGGTATGTTTTACAATAAAATAAGATTGGTAAATTGAAGGTGCATTGTGATCTTGTAACACCTGACACTGTTGCTTATAAAAAAAAATCGGTATCGGCCAAAATCGGAATCGGCAGTTCAGACTTTCAAAAAATCGGTGATCGGTGATCGGCCTGAAAATTGAAATCGGTGCACCCCTAGTATATTCCCCATCACAAGATATATTGCTTTACAATCTAGCTTAAAAAAAAACCAAACATTTTCTTTCATTTGTTGTTCTCAATTTGTATGCCTTCTTTTGTATTTGTCTACTGTTCTCTTTGTTGTCTACTGTTGTCTTTGTTGTCTACTGTTGTCATGATTCTTTGTTAAAATCAGGTCTCTCTTGTAAATGAGTCCCCAAGGCTCAATGGGGCTAACCTGTATAAATAAAGGTTGAATGACTGAATGAATATCATCCCTACAAACCAGACAAGCTCAGGGTAGTCTTTGATGCCTCAGCAAAGTACAAAGGTAACAGTCTCAATGATCATTTGCTGTCAGGCTACAGTACAGTAAAAGATGTGTTCCACTGTTTAATAGCAGTAAGAGGAGCAGTCAGTGAGAATTATTCCACTTTTATACAGTTTAGTCTCATTGAGTCACAGGGACTCATTTACAAGAGAGACCTTTTTTAAACAAAGAACACAGATGAGGTACAGACAACAATAGACAATCATATAAAAGCATATAAAATGAAAAGTAAGTAAAAGAAACTATATAAAAGTGAAACAAAAACAAGCTACGTTATGAAACAATGTAAAATATTAAAAACGGGAACGTCTGCATTGATTTTTGCAATGAACTTGGTTGTTTAAAATCCCTTAGAGTGGTCAAAGTCAACAGCTTCAGATCTTATTGCAAGGTATTCCAGGTTACAGGAGCGGAGTAAGCGAAGGCCCTTTAGCCAAATTCGGTCCACACTGAGGAGACGCTGCAGGAATCTATGTCTTGAGAGCGCATGCTGTAGCTGCGCTGACAAAGTGACATATCAGAATCAGAATAAGCTTTATTATCATTGCACCGAGATACAACGAGAACATGTACAGTATGTACAGTCGTCCGAAAGATGGACCTAGTACAAAGCTGCTGCTAATTAGCGCGGCCCTCTTATTCTTCTTCAGAATAATATTTTTGCTTAGATGAGAAAAGGGAAGAAAACGTGAGGAGAGAATGTATAAAAAAAGATCTCTCACACCATGTCCTAGACAGGGCATGGTTTGAGGCATCAAAAATCTACCACAGTATAGCACATAAATAGACATGATACATACACATATAGGCCGGTGAAGACATTGAATTTTAAGGGAAGGTCGTAGCATAGTCCGGAGCCCCCCCTCAGCCATTGTCCAGATAAGAGGTGTTATTTATTATCAGCTCGATTGAGGTTCCATCACATGTCCACGGCCTTTGGGAAGGGAGGGGTGAGGAGACAGACATAGCGTCTTTGTTTTTCCTAAACATGCCAGGAGGAATTGAGATAAGTCCGCTGTCAAGGCCACAGTTTGGGTCAGGCAAAACTTGTAAATTGCCGTTTCTGCCTTTTAAAGTTTCGCTGGTACATTTCTCTGATGGTGACTCCAAACAGCCAAATTGAGTCCTTACGCCGAAAGTTGAGCTTACAGCTTTCTCCAAGATTATTCCCATCCATACATGGGTGCTACCAGAAAGTTCACAGTCCTGATAACAGCCTGCTCCAGCTCTCTTGACGCAGCTCAAGAGAGCAAGCTCCTCATTGGTTGTCTCGCCCTTTTGAAATGGCTAAGATAAGGTCCAATTCCTACATGTGTCCAGTTTCACTACTTTTTGTCTGTCTAAACAGATCTTACTTGTAAATGAGTCTTCTAGGCTCAATGTGACTTGTCTGTCTAAATAAAGGTTGAATGAATGAATGAAGAAAGGTGCGATCAAGGAAGTAACTTTGTCGGAGCTAAAAATGAACTTCAAGAAGCTTTAAACCAAGTGGAGTCTAACCGCATTACTACATTTCTTGGAGAAACGGTGTGACTTCAAAATACACACTCCTCATTCAAGCCATACATGAGGTGTATGATAAAGACAAATGAAGACAGTTCAAAGCATTCTGTGCTCAACAGCTTCACTTTCATCAGACAGATTGGACGACATCATCAAGAACATTTTTTTTTTATGAGGCAATGGTGATCGTGAACAACAGGCCTCTTACAGTGGACAAACCTAAGTGACCCAAACAACCCAGAGCCTTAGACCACAAATCTCCTGCTTACTATGAAGGCAAAGGCAGCCCTGCCCCATCCAGGTAAATTCATCAAAGAGGACATTTATGCACATAAAAGGTGGCGGCAGGTGCAGTACTTATCAGAACAGTTTTGGTCACTTTGGAAATGGGAGTACCAGTATCTCTCCAACATCGCAACAAGGCAGAAATAGCACACACCAAGGAGAAACTTGAAAGTTGGAGATGCTGGCATGGAGAAGATGAATGATTTGTTCCACAATGAATGAAGATTAGCGTGTGTAATAGAGACAGAAACTGACAAAGACAAACTTGTAAGAAAGGTAAGGAGTCGCTTTGTAGAAAGGAAGATTAAGAAAGGACAATGTTCTAGTAAACCTTCTATAGTGGAATGTCCGGTGCAGAACCTGGTTCTGCTATTAGAGACTTTAACTTCATTTACATTTTAAGGTTCATTCTTTCTTATGGACTATGTGTTTTTATAGGGTTTAAAGGTTACGGTCATTTCTTCATTAGGAAATCATCTCTCCATTTGCTTCTCTATGATTTAGTGGAAGTGTAAATGACGTTAATATTTTCTTTATCGTAAATTGGCTCATGTGTTTATTATTCTGTTGCATAAGTGACATTGCTAATGCTTTTATTTTGGAAGGCATAGAACAATAAAGTGTCGTAAATCAAGTGTCGCAAACTGTACAGCAGCGGCGCAAACTCCAGTGTGCAGAGAGATGATGTGCTCTACGGTTTAAAAAACGAGTAATATTAAGCTGTAATTCTAAGCCGCAAATGGTTCCTTAGCACCTGTTTTATGAGGGAACAAGATTGGTATTAAAGTTTTGTTGTGTAAATAAATATTTAGTTACATTTCCCAGAGTATACAGGTCGCTACTTATTGTAATGGTTAAATTTTTGCCCACTAGATGGTGCTCATGCACTTTGGTAATTTAGTCATGTTTAGTCGGTAATCCTAAGGGTTACACGCTTCAGTGTTATAATTCACAGACCGTTGCAATATGGCGTGTCTTATTTTATTTCATGGTACAGGGATGGTTAAAGGCAACATACTGTTTGAGTCACTAAAGGTATTTTTTTTTATTTTGTATATTTTGTAGCTCTTATGGTGTGTTCATATATACAAGACTGTTCAATAAAAAGATTGTGAACTATCACTTAGAGAGACCATTTTTCTACTTGGGACGCTACAGGCATCTTTTCTTCCACACTATATATAAAAATCACAAAATTTACTGACTGAAGACATAAACATTGTTTCCATAAAGAATTTATTTGTTCGTGTTTTTTTGACGTACTACTGAAAATATAATGTGGCACATAATGTGGAGGAAAATATAGAGTGACATGTTAATTTTGCTGGAATACCTTTGCAGTCAACCCATCATGGTAACTAACACACCTGATCATCTTTACTGTTTTTATCTGCAGGTACACCATCCCACCTGAGCACGGCAAGAGGCTGGAGAGGCTGGCAAAAGGTAAGGATCCATTTTTGTTTTTGTATTGGTTTACATATTCAGATTGTCCCCTGGCCTTCTCATTTTGAATTTGTGCATTTGGTGAAATAATAAATGTGCCTGTTTAGATCCCAGAATACAGTACTGCATAGCTGAAGGGAATTTGTTAGACCTGTTGCATATGGAAATAGCAAAAACATCATATCTTAATTACACTGTATTTCAGCTTTCTGTAGCACAATAATAATCATGCAGGCATTAAGATTTAATCATAATCAACATATGTTCTGCCATTTTCTTGTCAGATTTTTTTGTTTTGTTATCTTTTTTTTCCCCTTTAAATTACTGCCATTGATTTTATTGTTAAGCACTTTGGTAACAGCTGCCGTTTTTAAATGTGCTTTATAAATAAATTTGACTTGACTTGATGAACATTTTCATTAAAAGGGTGCAACGCACTGAAACCTGCTTATCTTTTGCAGGAGTAGCAGCTGGCCTTTGGTAGGAAAATAGTATCTAACTATAAGTGTATAAATATTGATGGAGAAACACTATAGCTCCAGTGAATTTATTACTGGTATTATTGATTTCCTTTTTGTCTTTGCAACATAGATGATGTAGTGACATTAAAGACAGATCAAAATATAAAAGAGGAATGCATGATTAGGGGTTTTCTCAAAAAAGCAAAACAAAAACGCTTGTTTTTATTTAACATTGGTTCCAATTTATTTCAACCATTTTCAACAAACAGCCAAGGCTTAATTCTAGCAAATTTTCTCAGATGAAAGGGAGAAAATTGGTGAAAAAGTCTACATAGTGGGCAACCATAAAGTAGCCTTCAATGCTATAATTTCACCGGTGGACAGGGCCTGAATTTAACTAAATTAAAATACACAACACATGTGAGCATTCTTATCACTCCTTCAGTTAGATTGCAGTCATACTCATTTATTTAAACAGGAGCCAATTGGTGGAAAGCAGTGTTTAACAGGCACCCACTGACCGATCAAAGCCGTCGTTGGCACTTGTGTCCGACTGTTTATACGATCCTAAAGGGACTAGGACAATTGTCTTGTTACTTCAAAATATCCCTCTTCAAACATTTAATGGTGTGGTAGCTGTAACTCTTATCACTCCTCATCTCTGCGTTATTTCAGTCATAACTTCAGACATTTTGCATAGGGTGGCCAAGATGGGAGGGGAGGGTTAAAGGAAGAGCAAGTTAATTCTTAAACACGAAAGGACAGAATGAAACCTTTAAGTTAATATTACCCTGTGAAAAGCTCGGAGAGCCAGCTGCATTTTAATGGGGATTAATACCCAGGCTCTGTCAGCACATTATTCACCTTTTATCAGTTCCAACAAGCAGAAGGGCAATGAGAGTGCGGAGTCCCTCTCTCCCTCTTTGCTTTGTAGGATGGAACAGAGGCTGAAACAATGCAGTGAAAATGAAGGATGAAATGAGTGCCGATTATACTGTCAGTCACATTAAAGTTTAACTGGGTGGAGGCTTAGATGGATCCCCCCTTCCTCCAAGGCTCCAGTGGGTACAGATGGTAAAGAATGAGAGAGTGAGCAACAGAGAAGTTCTTTCTTTTGATTATGTAGGGGCCATCTGAGGCTGTCCAAGAGCATAAACGAGCCTTTGTTTTACACACGCGTTAAGGCTTTCAAAGTCCTAAATGTCAGAGCTAAAATATGATGTCTAAGTAGTTTGAGCCTTTTAAAAAATAGATTTACTTTATAACATAACATGCAATTGTTGGAAGTTAAGGCAGCTTGACTAATAGGCCATTATTAGTATATTAGAAGTACCAATCTCAGCTTTGCACAATACACACATTGAAAGAGCTTACAAAGTACTGCAAGTGCAGAATTTTTTAACCGTGACCTTGGGGACATGGCTTCAGCTATTGTAGTTCAGCAGTTTGAAACCTTGTATTTTTTTATATTAATTGTATCCCAGCAAATAAATAAGATCAAGGTTAAAACAATTTGTCTTCTTAGTATTTCAGTGTTTGGTGCTACAATTAAAAAATATATATATTACCATTTTCTAAATAAACTTTGCAAATCTAAAGGCAAAAATGTCTCTCATAGCCGCAGGGATTATTGGTAATATGATAATCAAGTAGTCCCCAAAGGAAAAGCCTTCTTAATTGTGTCAGAATACATTTACAGAAGATTAAGAATGCAGTCCATCCTGAAATCTATACATGGCTCAAACAACTAATAATCAGACTTATACACAATAAGTGGATATTTTATGATGATCTGCTTTAATTTAAGCAGTCTTTTTTCCAGTTGACTACTGGATCGTTAACTTTGTATTTGGGTATTATCAGAGTTTGGCATTGGATAAAAGCAAGTTTAAGGCTGGGTAGGAATTGTAATGCCATGACCTTCAGTATCCTCATCTTGCACTATCCAGTCTCTAGCTTCAGTTTGTTGTTTGACAATTCATTCCAGATACTTTCATCAGAAATTTTTAAAGCATCACATCAATATTTGTAGACAGTAAGCTTGTATTTCATCATGAAACACTGGAAACATTTCTGCTCCATGTAGTTATCTTTACATTTTTTATCACATTTTGCTTTAACAGTTATTTAAGGAGTCACTGTATGTATAATGCAATCTCTCTACTTGACTTCAAGGTCTAGCTTTTCTTTTTTGCCTCTGACATCCATGTGCTCATTGTCACCCTCTGCAGGCTTTTTTCCTGGTAGCTGCCAAGGCTGCGATGCCTTCCTTCGCCACAAGATGACACTGATATCTCCATCCATCCTGAAGAAATTCGGCATTCCCTTCGACAGAGTGAGTAGCAAATGATTCAAGCTTACAAGGCACAAGCTGACATGTTATCGATCTGCTTTATCAATATATTTATATATGAATGCTTTTGTAGTTTTTTTCTGCTGGTGCTCGGTCACAAAGTAGATCAAAACGGATTGATTTGTCCTCATTTGTTGATTTATTCTAAACTCCTTGTAACCACAGTGACAACTGTGATGGGAAGGTTGCTATAGGTGTATGAAATGAGCTTTAAATGTGTAACATGGGAAAGAAAAAGTAGTTATCTATTTTTACTCACCATTCTCTACTCTGGTAATCCATATATTGCAGAAGAGGTGGGTTTGTTTCGAATGACTCAGCAATGACGCAACCACGAGTAAAGATCAGCACTTGTGTCTGTCACTAAAATTAATTGCCATCTTTTCCCTTTTTTCAGCTTGCAAGACCCCCACAGTGTAAAAAAAAATAAATGGAAAATTGAGTGAGAAAATATAAGGCAAAGAGCAGTCATCCAAAGACCCCCTTCACCCGACTTATCCCAACACTCCCCCTCAGGACGTCATTATCACAGTGAACATGTTGGGTGTTGCACACCTGCAGTATCTTTCCCGATTCATGTGTAAAAATAAAACTGTCTTCTGTTCTTGCCTGAACTAAGAGGGATTTGACAGTTTTCCATCCAAGCCGTTTGCTGTTAGTTAAGGCAGTTCAACTTCTACTCATGACTGTTTTCCTGTCGGGCTTGATGCGTCTCTTGATTGGAGCTTTACGTAGAAGTTGAGATCCACAGATGCATATACAGGGCATAAGTTTTAGGGCAAAACTAAAACAAAAAGAATGAGTTGCCATTGAATTGTTCCCATAGTCTTAAACTACCTCAGAGTAGCTCTTATGAAGATGCTAAACACCAGGAGCAGCAGTCATCCAAGGGTAAGGAAGAAAGGTTTAGAGAAAAGTTGTTTCTAAGATCGTTCCTAAAACTTTGACAGTTGATGTCTGAGACTGTTGGGTAATTACAGAGTATTTTCCACTCGTTCTTTATCAGAAAACCATGAATCACTGCGATAAGAAATAACAGAGTAAATAGACTGCCGCCTTGTATGCATGAGACAATTTCAGCACGCTGACATAAAAAAGGATTTTGTGAGAAATGTCAAGAATCGGTTCAGTTTCTGAATTGTAATTGTGTTGTTTTGTTTGTTTTGTTCCTCTGTATCTGAACAGATTACTCAAAATGAGGGCGAGTTCATGATCACTTTTCCCTACGGGTACCACGCAGGCTTCAACCATGGCTTCAACTGTGCAGAATCGACAAACTTTGCCACTCTGCGTTGGGTGGACTACGGCAAGAATGCGACTCTGGTGAGCTGAGACACACCAACGGGTTGTTTTATTGCTGCTGCAGGAACAGTAACAGTCACCGATTCTTAAACTTGTCTTTAAAAGACCACAATTTATGAAAGAATTACAGTTCTGTGAAATATTTTGTGATCAATTGAAATGCCTAAAACTGGTCGCAAACGTTTGTAGATTTTCCTTTCTATTTGGTTTTGAAACCATTTGCATTGAAGCATTAAAACCGTACAAAAAAACATGTCAGATGTTAGCTCATGGAACATTTAATAGTTTAAAATTCAATTACAGTAGTCCCTCGCTACTTAGCAGTTCGACTTTCACGGACCAGCTCTTTTGTGGTTTTTCAAAGTAAGATTGGACATGACACACAATTGGCTGATTGATAGATGAGCCACATGATAGGCATGGATTAAAAAAAAAGTCAATTATTTTAAATTATATAGCACCTGCTGCACCTGTGTGCAGCCCACTGGTACAGGGAGAAGCTCCCTCCTGCAGCATGTCGATCTCCGCTCTGCAGCAGAGAACGGGGGGTGGCCGAGAGCAGCCGGTGGCAGAGAGAACAATCATGACATGCTGTGTGCTCTTCTAGAGCGTTTGAAGTTTAGAAACATTGTTTAGAATATTGCAAGAGTGCATATATAAATATATATACTAAAATAATCTACTACTTACTACTTGTGCTACTATTCCTACTTTGTGGTTTTTCACTTATCGCAGGGGAGCTGAGAATGGAACCCCCCGCGATAAACGAGGGACTACTGTATTTTTATTTTAAATTTGCTCCCTGTGTTAACTCCTATGTGGTACTGACTAGCCATTAGCATTTGCCAAAACTCTGGATTGTAGTTTCTCAGAACGATGATAATTGCATCTAAAACCATTAACAGAAAAAGCGTAGTTCAAACAAGACTTCAAAGGGCGTTGCTGAAAGACTGTGCCTAAACATTCTTGCCGTCTTCATCATCACATATCCTCTTTACAAATGGAGACTTCACATAAAATGTAATCTGGTGTGTGATTCACCAGCAACCTTTCAGCTTTTCTGCTCTGGATTTTTATTTTTTTTGCTACTTTTAAGGGATGAATCAATAGATTATATCGAAATGTAAAAGCAGCGTCTAGCTCTTGGCTGCACACCATCTGTTACAGATGCTTAACTGTATGCTTGGATCCATGTGCTGATGCAAACTGCCTCTTTCCTCGTGGGCTGTTGAGCATGAAATTGACAGGGCATGGGTAGGTTTGTGAAAGGAAGTCCAACGACACTGTCCTCTGGAAGAAACTCCTCCACCATGTCTCTTTCCTTTACATACCACTTCATTTTCATGTTCATTTCTCCTCGTGCTCCTTTTCTTTTGGGTTTCTCTTTATTTGGCTGCATGTCAGACTTGCGAGTTGCCATTTTGCAGAAGTACATCTCCCTCCCTTTTTTCTTTCTCTCATTTTTGCATTTCCTACTTTACCCATGTGGCCACTTGTAATTTAAAAATCAGCTGCTCGTGCTTTAATGCTCAAGAGAGCATCTTCAGAACACTTTGTCTTGGTTAAAAAAAGTGCTCCATTCTGCACAGCTAACTTTGGTCTACAAATCGACACTGCACCATAGAAAGTCAGAGGTGTGTAAAATACAATTGTTGTTAAATGAGCACCATTTACTCTGTGATTCTTTCTTGTTTCATACAAGCGTTTATACTCCGACTGATACTATAACATTGTTGTTACACAGAGGGGGAACATTTTAACAAAAATAATACTAAGAAACAATTTAAATACTTTGAAACATTGGACCTTTTTATAGTCCAGCCTGAATTAAAATAAGCAGAAGTAGATATTTTTAAAAATTGTCCCCGAATGCCTAAAGTTTTTCACTGTTTTCAAGGCCTTTAAATCTTGGTTTGAAATCCACTGGCACAATGTTATTGGCATGGTATCGGCCGATATTAGCGATAAAGTTAAATATTGGACATCAGTCATTCCATCAAAATAACTCACCAATATAAAAGGTGCTGTTTACATATTGTAGGGACACATCAAGGTTTTTCTACCGTCAACTTTTTTTTTTTTTTTGATACTGTGAATGTAAGACTGACTCTCATTCCCAAAGTTGGATAGGAAGAAACCGTGTTAAAAAAAAAAAAAAGTGTGTATATATATATATATATATATATATATACATACATACACACACACACATACACAAAAGTCTGTTATTGTAATTAATTGCACACCTGTTATTATGATCTCACCAAAGTTGAAAGGCCCTTTCTATGAGAACCTTTCCGTCTGACCTTTGAAGTGTAACATCTGAACTTTATGCATCTCTTCCTTAAAGGGAGGATTCTTCCCACAGTCTCAGATTGTGTGAAAGAACAACCCTATTGTTTCTCAAGGACTCTTTGGTAGAATTAAATCTATGGTAAGATGTCGCCATCCCACAGCTGTGGATAATTCAATCTTTTAGTTCTCGTTAAAATAGTTTTATGTTTTGTTGTAAAACTACTTTGAAATAGGTGGTCTCCTTCTTTCTCAGCTTAGTACTCAGTTTAATCATGCACAAGAGAAAGTAGATGTGAAAAAAACCTAGTTCTGTAATCAGAAGCTTCTACTGTTGTTTTCACAAGTTCTAATGAAAATGTTTATTAACAAGGCAAACTGGTTAGACGTCTTAAATATGGATTATTTACCAAAGCAGAGCCAGTTATTTTTAATATTGTTGGTAAAGTGCAAATGGAGCAGAAACCTGAAACAAAGGTCCACCCTTTCTGTTTTGATTGGGTCAGTTGCCATTTTGTTTACCTGCAGCGCTGTTATGTCACGTGCGCCGTTGAGTTTAGATTTGTGAAAATATACAAATTTGCCTTGTTCAAGTGTTGTCATTGTGTTAGAGAGAGTAAATGTCATGAATAAATTTGACATTTAAACATAATCCAAGTTGAAGTGTTAAATCATTTTCAGCCCCCTTTTTGGCATCTGCCTTTGGTAGCAGGTCAAACTGACAACAATCATGCAGAATAATGTATTTTGATTCCACAGCAGAGAAAGCTATATGCAGTCTCTGTAAGTAGGTCTAGGAAAAAATATTGGTATTGGTTATCGGACAAAAAAGTTTGATCATATTGGCATATCGGATATTGGCCAAAAATCCAATATTGTGCATCCCTACACTGGTTTATCCCCATTGTAGAGCTGTGAAACACTCTGCTCCAATTTGTAATTGCTTTCCACTTTAAAGAGATTTGTCAGAGTGTTTTCACTTAGTGTTTCATCGAAGTAATTTGTGTAGATCCAGTTGGTCTGTTCAGCTCACCCACACTAACCATAAAAATTAGGTCCTGATGTTTTCTTCTGGTCTTCCTCTTAACTCCCTCATCTTTCCGTCTTTGGTTCACCAGTCATCCGTTAACTCGTTTGACTGTCAATCCTCCCTCTCCCGCTCTCCGTTTACCAAACCCTAATCTGTCAGCATCTAAGGGGACAGTGAACGATGGAGCTCGGTGTCCAATTTGTCACTGTTCAGGGTCTGCCAGCACACGTCGGTGATGGGAAAAAACTGGGAGTTTGACTGCCCTTCACGTCCCAATCTCATTAGGTGAAGTCTCAACTGCAGACCCACCTGTTTGACTTGCTAAGTGTTCACAGATCTGCAGTCAAAGCAGGCCTACTGTCAGCACTTTTTGCAGGCTGGATCTTTTGTTTAAACTTGTGCAGTCTATTTTAACTGCCGCCTTAACATATGTTGGGTTTGCATTAGAAAATTTTCATCTCATTGTCTTTTTTTAAGCTTTTTCAAGTGGGCAAGTTTGCTTAGTTTAAACTGAACAAAAAAAGAGTTTACTTTTTTTTTTATCCAGCCGCCAGGCGTCATTAAAGTTTGACAAACTTTTTCTATAACAGTTTAAAACTGGCTTGTTAGCAGAAAACTTGAAGAGGAGGCAGAATAAAGTGGTTTAGGAATTTTGCCTATTAATTAGTAATATTTGTTGACAACAGCCGAGCACTGAGCCCTCTGAAGATGGTGAAAAGGATCCTAAAGATTGTTGTAGTTATGTCTGCCACACCACTGCACTGCTGAGAGTAAACACTTTATCTTTTGAGTCTGCTGGATTTTCAGTGAAGCCGCTCTCCGTTCATTTGGTGCTCACTGACTGTTTGCTACAGCTCCTTGAGGAAACTAGGATGATTTCTTTTCGTCTGCGAGAGGAGCCGAAATCATTCTCCCAGATCCGAGACTAAATCGCACCACTTTTTCATCTCGAGAGTGAACTGCAGATGACTCTCCCCATATTTTTGGATTCAGTTGCTGACTTTTCTTGTGTTTGCAAAGCCACATATTTTGTGGTAGCACATCACACATTTTTGTTAGACTTACTGTTAAACTTACAGTTTTTTGATAAATTGTATTAGTTGTGTAAATCCCTACTTTATTTCAATAATAAGAAAATATGAGTTTTGCATTATAACTGAGTTCAAGGCTCTATAGAGAGGCTTTAGGCTCCAGGTTTGCTTATGATCAAACATTTTAGCTCCATTACTATTCAACGTCAACTTCAGAGCTCATTGATTTTCTGCCTTGTAATGACTTTTTGGATTCCTCTGCTCTTGAGCATCTTCAAATGTGCTTCCAATTTAGTTTTTGTAAGACAATAAAATGTAACTTGTCACGGAAATAGAAAAATGGCAGCAATGCCCATAACCTCATAATAGTTTCATTAAAAACAACAAGGGCCTTTAAACCAGTGCATTTTGCCAGGTTCAGTCCTTTGAAGGTTTCACGTTGGTAGAGTCAGCTATACTGGGTGCTTACCAACCCCTCCCTGCAGTTCCTCCCTCCACTTATACCATATTTTAATGTTTCTGCCTGTCCAGTGGTGCCAAGATGAGATGTAGGCTGGATATTGTTTTGCTGTGGAGGTTTGAGCTGTTGTGTTTCCCATAATTGAACATAAGGCTTTGAGTGCAGCTCACAGGCTGATGGTAATACAGCAAACAAAGCAAAAAGAAAACATTTTCGTCTCTCCCTCTCTCCTTTTTTTTGTTCCCTTGAATCGCCTCATTTTTTTGTTTTCCTCGTTTAATTTTTGTTGCACCTGCTGTTTGTCAGCATGCACATGTTCTGCACTGTGGCCACATTACACAGCTGCTCCCCTCTTTAGTCAGCAGAATGATTCATTGACCTTTAATGTCATTACGAAAGTTTGTGGAGACGTTTTGAAGTGTGAACAGATGCAGCTGTCACACTCATTTCAGAATAGCTCTCCTGTTTCTAACTAGGGTCTACTGGTATGACAGAGGTATGGAGATTTACCATTCGCACATTTTAAACCCAGTTACCACCTTCCTTCCAAGTTTGTTCATTTGTCCTTAAGACTTTACTCTAATATGTTGGATGACATTTAAACAAAAAAAAATCACGATTAGTTCATATAACTATTAATTCTACACGGTTGTAGCTTGAATTTTTCTCCATTGAGCACAACATAAAGGCAAAGGAACTATAATAAATGTGATGTACAAACAAAAACAGAAAATAAATCCCCAGTGTGTTATTGTTTAAATCTTGGTGCACTGGAACGTCAGTCCAAGGTCTAAATTGTAGCAGAAAAACTTCCATGAAATTGAGTCACACGATCAATCTGAATTGGAACTGTTTTTCTATTTTTCTTCCTGTAACCTAAATATACTAACGCAGATTTCATCCTCTTTGTTTTTTTGTTTTTAGTGTTCCTGCCGGAAGGACATGGTGAAGATCTCAATGGATGTGTTTGTGCGCCGCCTGCAGCCTGATCGGTATGAACTGTGGAAGCAGGGCAAAGACATCACAGTGTTGGACCACCTAAAGCCCACAGAGCTCACAAGTCCTGAACTGGAGTGCTGGAGGCAACACCGAGTCACCTACCGACAAAAACTTCTGCATAGGTGAAAGATCAGTTAACTTGGACAACAGAGACACACATTTAGTTGTCTTATTTCTGAAAATCTCATTTGTCTGTGTCATATTCATCTCAAAGCATAACCTTTTATTTATGTTCTGAAAACACAATTGATATTTTATGAAGGACTTACTTTGCTTTTTGTGTACTTCAGAGCATTGCAGAAGATGAAGCAAGTTCGTCGCCTAAAGCTGGAGGAGGTAAAGGTGCTGGCAGAGGAAGGAATTGAACTAAATGCTGCTGACTACCAGCGTCAGGTGGAGGAGCGGGAGGCTCAGCGCAGGCAGGAGAGGGACGAGCGGCTTGCTAGAGAGGCCATGATGACCCTGGAGGCCATGGAATTTGAGGAAAATGCTGCTGCTGCTAAAGCAGCAGAGACTCTCGAGACTCCAGAAGCTCAGGAGGGTGAGGAGAATTAGAATAATCGAGCTGTAGTTTGAGTTCAGACACAATGACTTGTGTTATTTGTAATGTAATTGTGCGAAATTGTCAGCACGGCGGCTCAGTGGTTAGCACTGTTGGCTCACAGCAAGAAGGTCCTGGGTTCAATCCTTGTTGGACCTGGGGTCTTTCTGTGTGGAGTTTGCATGTTCTTCTCGGGCTTGCATGGGTTTTCTTCGGGTACTCCGGTTTCCTCCCACAGAACAAAAACATGCATGTTAGGCTGCCTTCAGATCCAGGCCTCCCTTGCAAAACAGATCTGTGATCTCAATGGGATTTGCCTGGTTAAATAAAGATTAATAATAAATAAATAATAAAATGACACATCAAAATGTCTAACCTAAAACAATATCTAACGGGATCAACATCATTTTATTTAAAATTCCCAGCTTTAACTCCGACACTTTAAGCAGCATACAATCATTTTGTTAACGAGCCATTTCTTCTCTTCCCACATCCTCTTCAACAGGAGAAGAACCAGAGGTGAACCCACAGAACCTGACTGAAGATATAGAGGAAAAGAAGAGCTTGTCCTCTTTCAAAACTGAAGAAATGCTGACCGTGTCAGGTTTTGAAGAAGTATTCAAGAAATTTGCTACAGCTGGCATTCAGAACTCACAACCAGACAAGGTTGTTCCTTCAGATACGACATCTTCAACATGTAAAACAATCCCAGCAGATAAAAAAATGGATGTGAGTGCCACCCAGGTGAGAAAAGTCATCAAACCTTCTCATTTGTTTATTGGTTTAAAATGAAAAACGTCTGTTAAACTGTTTTAAATGTGAGTAAATATTATGCTTTATTCCTGATCAAATTGGCCTATTTGCAGAAATAAAAGTGGTACAGCTAAAAAATTAACCATTTTCATGTAGAGTTTGCAAATTCATTCAACATTTGAATTTTGGAAATGGATGTTGTTTGTTTGTTGTAAAACCGAAACATCGTCAACAACATCAAAAGTCAACACGAAACGTTTTTTTGTTTTACTAGCCGAGCTACTCCAAGATGAAAATGCCTACGGAGGTAAAGAAAAGTCGGCGCCACCCGCTCAGCAAGCCGCCCATGCGCACCCCTCTGTCGATCGTCAAACAAGAGCGGTCTGCTGAGAAAGGTACGTTTGTTTTTCTGTTACGGGACATTTTATGAACCTCAGGAGTACTAAATATTTGGTGCATGATGCAGATGTGCAGGCTATAAAAACATATAAACATATTTCACAAAAAAAACTACTTTCAAGAGATCTGTCCTTATTTTTCTTCATTATAGTTCTTTTCATCACACTTCTAAAAAATGACGACGCCACCATTTGTTGTTTTTATTATTGATCCGGGGAAAGAAAAACAAGCAAGACTAAAGCTCCCTGTAGGAATAATGAAATCAAGATGCCAGGGCTTCCTCTCCCTCCCCTTACCTCAGTGTTTTTCTTTCCATTTTCTGATCGACATTTATTGATCTGGAGATCATGACTTCCAATTACCTGCTTTCAAAGTCACTTTAGGTTGGTAGCCGGGGACCCGACTCAGCCTGTCCTTCAGAAAGGTGGATGGTGGAGGGGAAAGACAAGCATTTAAGAGGGGGGAAAAAATCTGACTTTTGTCCAGGCCCAACAAACACTGTGGATCAGTAGCTTGAGGGGTACGCTGCAAAATTGATTCTGACCCAGACTAGCAAATTATTGATGCCTGTGCTGTTTGTGTTCATCACCAATTATATCAGGGCCGGCGGTGATGTCGCCCTCGAGCAGCATGAGCTATTCTTGTTTCTTTGTAAGGGCTCCCTCAGGAGGTTCTCTAAAAAAAAAAAGCTTTATGCAATTTAGTGAATAAAATATAATAAAAAATGATTTTTTAGCATCTTCAGTCACTGCAAATTAAAAGGGATTTTACCAGCACTCATGTATTTCTTTGTTTGTTTTGTCCAAAGGGTTGTCCTCCCCAATGTCACTAGAAAGCAGCATGAAGAAACAGCAGCATTTGTGGCAGAATCGCTCACCCAACTTCTTGGCAGAGAAGACTTTCAATTCTGCAGTGGCCGGACTAGAACCTTACTGTGCTGTCTGCTCGCTCTTCTGTTCCTACAAAAAGGTACAGACACACTTTGCAATGGTGCATGTGCAATTGCTGTAGTGGGAACAGTTATAGCAACTATTTCATTCCTACTATGTAAAGGTTCTCTCGTTCTTCTCTGACCACTCAAACCACAGAAAGATCCTTCCAATGCAAGTAACCCTGCACACACCTTCATGGCACCCAGACCTGGCAGTTTCACTCGCCCACTGGTCCCAGAAATCTGCTTCAGTGGAGCAGGAAACGAAGAGCCACCACCCACTAACTGCTACATCGGAGAGGATGGAACCAGTCTTCTGATCTGCTGTGAATTTTGTGGCATGCAGGTTCATGCCAGTAAGTATTCAATGAGGCAAAAAAAAAAAACCTGTAATGACTAATAATTAAGACACTATATATAACACATTTAGGAATATATGCACAGGATTTTATTTATTTATATACTATATTTTTACTATATTTTATAGAGGCTAAAATTAAACTAAACTTGGTCTAAAAGGAAAACTTTTGCAGACGTCTAAATCTAAACACCTTATCCAGCTGTAATCACATGCATAGAGTTTTATATAGACAGACTCCACAGGGTATTTCACTGCATTTTTTTCCAAACTCAGCTTTCTCCCCTCATCTCCTCAGAAGAGGTTTGGTTAAAAGTGGCAAACTGAAAACAAGATTTGACTGCAGCAGTGCAAGAAACTACCTAATTCCTCTGTTCACAAAGTTTTTCAGTTCATCCCTTGTTGACTCGTGCTGAAATATTCAGTTCTGCAAGTAATGCTGAAGATTTTCTAAATGCAGCAAGTCTTAAAGATTCCCATTTATTTTTTACACAGCTTTCTTCACCCTACAATTTCTCTAGAAGATGGACTTTTAACGGCATAGTGAAGGAAAAAAAAAAACAAGACTGCTTGTTTACATTTGTAGCTGTGCGACACAGCCTCAAGCCGCTTCTTGCACAAACTAGGTTCGACCCTCCCCTCACACGAACACACCGAGGACCGGAGACAAGAAAAAGATTTAACTCTTGTTTGTTAAAACAGGTTAAAAACCTCCTAAAGATGATTTAAAATAGCTGGAGGAGCTAAAATCTGAAAAAGAAGTTAAGAAAAGACTGCATATTGTTCAGCCACCACAGTTCCAGTACCAAACTGAAGTTCCTTTCAGGGATAAATAACATTTCCAGAACTGAACTGAATCGAACAGTTCAGTTCATAATGTATAATCCATGTAAAATCAGTCACTCAATGCCCCAAACCAGCAGGGTAAGATGGCTGCACAATACTAGTAGGGAATGCTTAGTCCCAGCCACATGGAGTACAGATCAGTGTCAGCCTTCTAAGCCAGCGGACCAGGAAGTGGAGTCCCATCAACTTTTCTGGTGTAGTCACACTTCCGCTGGTGAGAGTCTGTGCATCCCAGCTGCACATCTGCATCCATCTCCACCAGGTGCTTTAGAAAACAAATATGGAACAGGAACTAAGAAGAGGCCTGATCACCACCCAAATAATCCCACTGGTACCCACATACCCCGTAGGGGAAAATTAGCACTTTCTTTTAGCTTGAGATCATGAGCGTTGAAACCAGGACCACCATAACAGATGGATGTGAAGGGAAGGAGCCGAGCAGTGGGACGAATCCTGATCCTGAATGTCTGTTCAAATAGGCACGGGACCCATGCCCTCTCTCGCTCTCCCCACCAGTGTTAATCCAGAAGTCATCAAGTTCAAGAGAAGGAGCACTTTAAAACAGATGTAGTTGTTTAGCACATTGAAAAAAATCAAGACAAAAACATAATGTTCACAGCAAAACAGGCAACTACCAAAATAAATATAAAAAAAACACACTGGTAAGACAACAAACTACTCCCCCAGATTTCTGTGACACATTCGTTTAAACAATTCATGTTTTTTCCTGATATATTTCTGTACTTGGCTTCACTTTTTACTGCTAAATCTAAAAATCAGCAGTTTAAATGTATTACATTTATTGTTTGTTTCATCAACTAGTATTTTAGATATGTTTTTTTAGGTTTTGCATGGGGGGTGGGGGGCTTAATGTTTTGTGCCTGCCCAAACACACACACACACACACACACACACACACACACACACACACACACAA